AGGGAGGGAGGGAGGGAGGAAGGGAGGAAGGGGGAGAGAGCATACTTGACGAGGAGGAAAGCTCCTCGGCGATTGGTGGCAGAGTCAGATCCATTGCCATGATGCCAACGTCAAGGATCCGGATCGCGGGAGAGTGGGGGAGGGGGGCTATGCGCGCGCGCACACACACACACACTCACACACGCTCGGATACAGACAGACACACACACACACAGGGGGAGGGACTGCATCGGTGACAAGGGCGGAAAGAGAGCGCATGGGTGGGTGGAGGGGAGTGGTGAGCGGCGGCATGGTCGGTCGAGATCCGGGCAGATCGGCCAGCTGACGCACCGGACACAAGTGGTGGCCTCCTTCTTTCGGATGGGAGCCGGCGCGTGGCACTATCTCTCTTTCTCTCGTGCTTGGTCTCTCGGGCTCTCTCTCTCTCTCTTTCGCGAGGGCGCGAGCGCGAACGCGCACCGGGAAGGGGAGCGGGGGTGCGCCTTCGGCCTGCACGAGGGAGGGGAGGGAGGCAGGCGGTGTCGCAGGCGGGGGCGGGGGGAAGGGCGGGCAGTAGGGAGGAGAGAGGGGGCGGAACAGGAGGGTGGGGTGGGGGGGCAAAGAGTAGTGGTGGGTGGCGGAAGGGGGCAGGCAGGGCAGGCGGATCGGCAAGGGGGGGGGGGATGGAGAGATTAGGTGCCGGCGATGGGCCGGCGGGCCCCGGGCTGCTCCCTGGCCTCTGATTTAGGCATCGGGCGCGGACCGACCAGGGGCCAGGGCGACCCCGGGAAAGGGGCTGAGGCCCAGGCGGGTCGCTGGCCACCATGGCTGAGGGCCACGACGGTCAAGCCAGCTGGCGGGAGCGGGGGGGGGGGGGGCGGCGGCAGAGGGGGAACAGACCAGCCACCAGGGGAGCCCACGGCGCCTGGTGGGGAGACTCGCCGGGCAAATGCATGCACACGCGTACGCACTCGGAGAGGGAGTTGTGGCAGCGGGGTCTGAAGGCGCCGGCAAGCAATGCGCTCGCGCGTGCACACACACACACACACAGGCACAAGGGCAGCTGCAAGGAGAGTTAATAAGCCCTGGCCAGGCATTGGGCGAGCATCTGTCGGTGGTCTCCTCAAAGCCACAGCCACTCGGGCTTCCAAACGGCAGACCGAAGTACGTGCGTTCCGTGGCGGCGGCCCGGCGGCTGCGGCTCCCCCCCCCCCGCCGGAGGGCGGTGGCACGGTCGGGACCGGTGGCTCGCGCTGCAACTCATGGGTGGAAAAGCCCCAGCAGGGGGGGGAAGGGGGAACCGACCGAGCGAGGATGCCCCCGGATGACCGGTGCACCCACAAGTAGCCGGCTTGGCCCCCATGTTGCGGAGCTCGCATTCTCGCCCTCCCACACACACGCACCGGCCCCTTGGCTCTCGGGTGTGTTGTGCAAAAGTGCTTGTAACGTTGGGTATGCAAGTGTACGTATGTATCTTTTTGCATGGGTACATGGGTGTGTCGGGGTGGACAGGCGGGCGGGGATCCATCCATCGCAGACATCCTCCCTACGGTAATGGGATCGCGAGGCCAGCCGTGTGTCCGTCCCTCCCCGGCATGCCGGCCGAAGCGCGCATGCGAACCCCTGCGAGACGGGCCCAGCCCTGTCCGGAAGGGCCGGAGGCGAGAGGATTAAGCCACGCGCCGGCAATGGCCAGACCATCGAAGCGCGCCGGCCGGAGCACGGCCGCCCCTCCTTGCTGCTCGCCCCCCCCCCCCCCGGTCCGGACGTTGCGGCCGCCCAAGCGACCACGGGCCACGGCTGAGGTCCCGACATGCACACTGCGGGTGACCCCTTGACCCTCGACCCCCGGCCCCCCCCCCCCGGCCCCCGGGCTCCGAGTTCCCGTGCCGGCTCCCCGGCCGGAAGAGGTTGGAGTCGCGCGGACAGCTCTCAGGACGCTCAGGAGCCTGAGGGGACATGGCTGACAGACGCCTATGCGTCCTCACCGGCAACCGGGGCCCACCCCGGGGAGGACACATTGGGCGCCCTGGACACGGGCGCCCATGTCCCAATCGTCCGGGGAAACGAGGCATTCGGTGGTCCAAGGGGGGGCGGCATCAGGAACTCACACCGGATTCCCCCCTCCCCGCCCACCGCCGCCCCCGTGCCCCTGCCCCGACCTACCCGGCGGCGAAAAGCACCCCACTCCCGGGGGGAAGCGGGGGGGGGGGGCGAGAAAGGGGGATCACACTCTGTCCTCCCCCCCCCCCC